TCCTAAATGCTGCTCGCCAATGCATTCCACTACTGTGGAAGCAGACATGCTGCCCCTCCCCTCAGGCTGTGGTTCACCAAGGTTGACGAGATATACTTGATGGAAGACCTAACCTCTACGCTTCGGAACACTGAGGAGCTCTTTCGGTCCACCTGGAGACCTGGACCTCTTTTCGGGACACGGATGCGTACCATCGGGCTATGGGTGCAATGCCCCCCTGAACGCTAGTTGAGACCCAGGTCCTAAGTGCCTGACCCACATCCTCACTACTCCCTACCTCCTTCTGGCTCCCCCCTGCTGATTCTCCTTTCTCTTTCCCTTTTCCCCCCATCCTACCTCACCTGCTCCTCCTCCTGCTCTAACCCCTACCCTTTCTCTCCATCTTCCCCCCATTGGTGCTAAGCAATTGCAAAATGTTCTACATATGCTTTTGCGTGCTAGGAAACGTTGACAAATTCAAGTGCGTCTCACTAATAGCAACTGCGCTGGTACCTGACGCCACACAAGGCCAGCACTTCTCTTAATGCTTGATTCCACACTGTACCGAATATGCTCTCTGCAACACTTTGTTATATTTTCTTGAACTATTAAGTACAGCCATCGTGGCTACATGATGATTGCTCTGTTGAACCGAACAATTCCCTCATGTTTACTCTGTACTGCAATGTGTTTTATGTACTTATCGTATATCCCAGATTTGTACTGAGGATGCTGGTATGTGTTGGAGGCGTAGCCTCCTTGTACAATTGTACCATGCAGATGTACAATAAAGTTGACTTCTGATTAAAAAATAAATTAAAAAAATCTTTTACTTACAATTTCTGTTTTTCCACTTCCTGGTCCTCTTAGGCATTAGTGATGTAGACCTGGCCTAACAGATGCATCCTGGGAAGATTACATTACTATGCATTGCTGAGAAATCTCATCTGTAAACTGCAAAATCTCACAAGATCTTAGGGAAAGGCATTTTCCCCCTGAGATGATGTGTATGGTCACATCTCCTAGTCACATGTTCCAGAGTTCCAGAAAGTAAAATTAGATATATTAATCTGCCCTTAGTAAAAATGGCCACTGTGAAAAGAATGGGGGGGGGGAGGGGTAGAAAAATAAGGTATGCAAAGGATAAAAAACCTGCAGTTGTTGTGCATGTGTTCCCCTTTTAAAGATAAGGGTAGAGTTCCTCTTTAACAAGGACATTTTTGACATAAGAGAAGAATATTCCTTTTTCATATACCCTACATAAAAATTAGTTTCTCTAACGCCAACAAAGATTCATTTCAACTTTAGAAAAGAACAATTCATCTTTGATGGAGAAAGTACTTTTCATGTCAAATGTAACAAGCTTAGTTTCAATGCAACTTGCTGTAGTATTTCTTTACTGCTCTCTACTTACTGATTACTTACTGATCAATGTCAGGCCCCTTATAACTTTGTTGAAATTGGAAAAGAAATACATTGAAATAAAAACAGATACATAATGCTGGCTTACTGGTAGAAGAATTAAGAGAAGCAGAACTGCAAAATAAGACAAAACAGAAACAAAAAACACAACCAGCTTATGAATTCAAAAGATGCTCCTGCTTTTACCCTGGGAAACATCAACGCCATGGTCCACTATCACCTGAGTCCCAAAAGCTTGCTCATTATATAGATTTTCTGCTTGATAGCAAACAAAATGCCCCAGAAATGTGATGGGGCTGGCTCCCACTAACCTGTCTCCTCTGCTCCAGAAACCTGCTCAGACCAGAAATCTGTTTCTGGTCTGAGCAGCATGGGTGAGAGCTCTCTCTCTGTTTTCACAATCCTCCATTCTCCTGGATCAAATAATAATCTAGGATCCTGGGGAGGGTCGAGGACGGAGATCTCCCGGTTTATCCTGGTGAAGCAATCTGTTTTGCTTTGGACGTCTGGATCCCAGGGAGCGCCAGAGACGAGAGGGCGTACAGCTCCGGTGTCTATCTAGCGAAACAAACGGCTTTCTAACATAATAGATCTGGTGAGTGCATATCCTTGAGGGGATCTCCTCCGATTTTCGTTGGGCACATCACTACTCAGAAACGTATTTGATCTCACTATTGGGCTGATTTTTGGAAGAACAAATGCATCACATTAATATATACACATTTTTGTTTTTTTGTGATATATATATTTTTTTGATTTTCCATCCTTTTTATATATTTTTTTTATTTTACTTTTTGATCTGTATGCGTCTGAGAAAAGACTGAAATAATACGGACTTCCTTTCAGTGATTGTTATACGTTTCCTCTGCTTTATCGCGGTATACTGAGACACCGCACCTGGAGCGGATCCCGACTTAGATGACGGGATCAGCCCAGCTGCGTGAGTGACAGCTGGCTCTGCCTATCTAGAGGCAGAGCCAGCTGTACCCGCCCCCTCCCCCATCCGTTCCGCCAGTCAGCGCTGGCAGATCGGAGCGGGGAGAGGGGAATCCAGCCCCTCCCCCTGTCACGGCAGAGAGCCGTGACAGGATCGAGAGGTGAGGGAACCCGGTATGTGTTCTCTCACCTCCCGATCTACTGAGCCGACCTGTGACAGTCTCATTGTCACAGGTCGGCTTAGAACTATGAGGTGAGTGGAAATCACTCACGTCATAGTTCTCCTTTAACAGAGGATCCACTTTTGTTTTATTCGGTTAATCAGGAGAAATTTAAAAGAAACACTTTCATCACTCTGTTTTTTCTATATTGTACATACTTTGCTGCTACACTTTGTTTATTAAGTTGTTATTAGTCCACGTTATTGAATTTTTTCAGAGCACTTTGTAGCTACTTCAATATTTGTATTTGACACATTGTTGCTTCTATAGATGTTTCACATATTTTCAGCACTAATTTAGTTTAGCACCCACTGGTTTTGTGCTGTTATTACAGTAGTTGGCACTTCACGTACTCACTTTATTCACATAGATGTGAGTGATATTCCCTCTGCAAATGCATTTTATGTATTACTGATACTACACCAACTATAGCCTTTTTTCTATTGTACCGAGAGGCTTCTAGCGCTGTACTTTACATTTTTTAACCCTTAGGGCTTAATGCCTGAGTCTAGCTGCTTTTAGCTTCTATTCGGTTTCACTTTAATTATTTGGTTATGTCCCTCTCCTTCATACATCACTTTTTATAGTTAAATCTAGCAATTCACGTTTTACCATTAGCGCAGACTTTTGTCTACTAAAGCTTTATTTTAGCTCCCTAGACAAAATGAGCACTTAACCCTTGCAGTGCGGGGGTAGCCCCACTGCAAAGGTTAAAGTACAATTAAACTCTCTGTCTTTTTTGCATATATCTACAGCCAGCAAGCAGTAGATATATGCAAAAACATTTAAAAAATAAAAAAAGTTACCAAAAAAGGTCATTACTTACCACAGCAGTCAGCGCTGAATCATGGACCAACATCAACGCTGGAGGGATTGCTGAATACAAGTGGAAGGAAGAAGATGATCGGATCAAGAGGCATCATTTAAGGTATGTCCCTAAATTTAAAAAAAAAAAAATAGGGATACATTGGGATGCATTTTCAGTGCAGCAGCGTACGAAGCCGGTCAGCACACAAAACGGACGTCGTGTGAACAGGCCCTAAAGGCTCAGTTTATTTTTTGGACCATGTTTCATGTTACACCCATATTCAGGGTATAATAAAACATGGTCACATTGCAACCCGACCCCCCCACCCAAATTGCAGGGTTCCTCTACTTGCAAGCTGCTGCTCTTTTTTTAATTTTGTGCAGCTGTGCACATCTCCACCCACACAGCTGCATCATCCATTCACAGATCCTTTGACAGGATCTGTGATTGGAGGAGCTACAATCCCCATTTCCAACCACGGAAGAGGGACTTCTCAATGGAGAACAAATGAGGTGACATCACTGCAGCTGTAGTCCCATCCATGGTATTAAAAGGAGAATGATGAGGAGAGTGAAATGCACTCATCCCATAATTAGAGCTGACGAGTGACACTAAAGCTGTCACATGTCAGCGCTATTGATCGAGAACTGAGCGATCACATACCGCTGATCACTCAGTTCCCGATCATCTCCCTGCAGAGAGCGATGATTGTCAGTCACGGCTCCCCGCAGGGATTCCTCCCTCTCTCTTTATTCCTCCAGCGCTGACTGGGGCGGGCACAGGTGGCTCTGCCTCTAGAGCCACCTGTCAGTCAGGCATCTGGATCCCGACAATACCTCGGTATGGACATGAATGGGAGGAAGACTCAGCAGGAGCCACAGCATTGCACCCGCGATCCAACGATTGCAGTTGCAATGCTTTACTGACTCCAATGCAAAAAATAAATAAATAAGTACATAATAATAATGAAGGCACATTTTTCTCTTTTATGAACAAGTGGATATTTATTTTATTTTATTTTCCGGAAAGTGGACTTTACCTTTAATGCATTTGCAGCCCCTTAGTGAATCTTACCTATGTGACATGCCTGCTGTAGGGAGCAGTACTCAGCTCCACCGTAATAACAGAAGTGGGGTCCTCATGTATTGAATTGTATTTTGTAAAGTGCTGCACAATGATAATAATACGGACAATAGTTCCTAGAAGTGATTGAGTGAAGAAGGACCATGGTACAGGGATGGTGGATCCTAGGCACACATGGGAAGGAGGAGGGATGGAGGAGGTGGGACCACCCCAACATAAACATTTGTAGCTCAGGCTCTCCCCTCCCCCAGCACAACTTCAGCATCCCGGGCGTGTGCAGAAGAGGAGGAGAAGGGAGCTACAAACACACTAACTAGCACTGGCTCCCCATCAATAACCTGACAGGCTGACAGGAGTAACAACAACCCGCCACCCACTGCATGCCCACCTCGGAGTTTACACGCACTGCATTACACACAAAGGACATTGCCATCCGCCCAGAGAGGCAGGTATGAGCGCACAGGCATTGCCTGCCATCCCTCTCCGGTGTGACATACCGTGCGTTACACCCTCACTGAGTGGGCACACGCCGCCCTCTGCACGTCACTCACCCATCTTTCCTCTTAGCTTTGTAAACATGCCCGTAGGTTCCTCGACCCACTTTGCAGCCTTCATACTCAAAGAGGTCCTCCACCCGCTCCCGCTCGGCAGATAGCTTGCTCTTGAACTCGTAATCCATCCTCCACGGCCGGCCAGTGTTTAACCCATCAATGCGCGCCCACCCGAGCGGGCTGCCGGCGCTTACATGGAAAAACTAGCAGGCTCTCCCACCACCATTTCCTTGTTTTTCTTCTCCTGTGCACACACATACACGCATGCCATGTACTTTGCCTGCACAGCGCCCCCTATCTTTACTTTCTATATCACACCAGCCGAACGGCCGGATACAACGGGGTGACTGGGCGCCCACAGCCGGCTCGTCACTTGGGGGGGCGATGTGTGGAAGCGGGAAGTTCCTTCTCGGGCCCACAAAACAAATGTAGCTGAAATGAAGTCGAAACATTAGACCTTTTCTTCATAATACAGTGTGTGCTCTATAAAGCTGAGTGTACACGGTTACAATTTTGTTGGAAAAAATTTGAGAAACATCTGTTCGGTTTTCTGATAAGCAATGAGGTGAGATTGATATGGAATGGAAGGAGCAGAAAGGAAAATGTTTCTGAAACAAAATAACAGTGAATGTGGCTTACGTTCAGGAAACGCCCTTCGTTTTACAAGTTCAAGTCATTGAATATTCTGAGGAGATTTTTCATAAGAACATTCACATACCAGTGCATAGACCAGCTTAAAGGGCATGTTCACTTCCTCACAAATTTTGAAGAAATGAACTTACCCACAGCACCCCCCCCCCCCACCCTGTCGGTGTAGTGGACCGTAGATTGGACTTCCCAGCCCTGCAGTATAGAGCATTAGATAATGGCCCATGACCATGCTGACAGATGAGAACCCCTTATTCTATCGAAAGTTCCAACTCCTTGAGATCTCCAACCATCTGACTTCCGGTTTAGTTAGAAGTAAGAGGTTTGGCCGAGAAGGCTCTACTGCACATGCAGCATTTCCCTATACACATACTAAAGAGCAATAAAGTATTAAAATTAACTAGGGTCAGACTAATCCAGCATATACTTTTTCGGTGGTAAAATATTTAAATGAAAGAGATATGCCTAAATGAATCCCTGTCAATTTATAACACAATTTTTACTGAGTTCTAAAAGGTGCTTATCAGTGAACCTTCCCCAAAAATGCGCAATAGTGTTTCTTCATGCTGTCCACACCTCCAATAATTGTAGGAAGTATTTGGAAACATCAACTGAAGACTGACTGGTGTCATATATCATCTTGAAAAAAACTTGTACCCTGACTCTTGTGTTTTATTTGAGATGGAAGCCTTATGCGCCAAATGTAAAATTCGGTTAATTTGCTCAGGGGAGAATGATTGGTCCAGTTCTCATTCCCATTTTCTAATAAATGAAGGGGATACATCCTTCTCCACATCTGTTCATTTAGCATATGCCAAGAAAAAAAGTATGTCTAAGCGGGGCCTCCGAAAGACACCATTTTTCAAAGGAACTAAGTTCTCTAAACATGTTACCATCTTTTAATCTAAATGAAGATACGAGGTTAGCTGAGTCAGTTGCCATTCATTCAAATAAGACGCAAACTTAGTTTACAAAGTATATTTTGATACAAAACCCCCATTAGCTGCAAAATGAAAGGTCCTAAAATGATTAGCACCCTAGTAAAAGCACCGACTGTGACCTCAGGGACAAAGTCTGGAGATCCCAAAATAGGCGTCATAGGAGCAGGAATAGAGGAGAGATCCGTAGTAGTGAATTAATCAATTTAATCAAGGGGTGAGTATCTAGCTTCAGCGCCAGTGAAGAAGTAAGCCATGCAATGGAATATAAGAGCAGGTATGTTCTAGTTTCATTGTTTCCGATGGGAAGGATTATACCATTCAAAAATGTTGGCCAAATGTGGAGTATCTGGTTTATACAGGCCTTTAAGAATTACATAGGCCTTTTAGTTTCTTCTATGACTACCTCCTTATAAATGTGTTACTAAGGTTTCTGCGCTTTTTAAATATATAGTGTGTGTGTATATATATTATATGCAGCCAACACCAAAATGTGAATTACACATTTTAAAAATTATATAACGTAGCATTTCAAAAATCAAAAATATACACAATTACTGTGCTCATACACTAGCTTTAAGTGTGTAGTAGAAACTATTTAATAAACTTTACAACAAATTGTATCTACTCAAAAGATTCATATCTTCTCATGTGAAATACATAGGGGTATTCACAAAAAGGTGAAGAGTTTGGAGAAGACAGGAGAAGTGAACATTTAGGGCAGCATAGCTGATTTGGAAAAATTCTCCTATTCAGCTCACTTTCAATGGTCATCACTTATGAGAGTGGCAATGCTCAAATATTAAACAAGGAACAGAAAATAGTGTAACTCATCTGTTTAACAGTAATAAGGAAGATACAACAATACTACTCACAATGAACATGAAGATAAAAGCATCCACCAATGAATGTGTTCCTACTCCAAGAACTATACTCCGCAAGCAGACCAAAACAGTTCAAGCGCTCTGACAGCCTATAACTAAGGCGTAGCAGAGTGTACCACTTCCGAGAATGACGATTAGCTCCTCCCATCAATGAATGTGTTCCTGCTCTAAGACCTATACTCCACAAGCAGACCAAAACAGTTCAAGCGCTCTGACAGCCTATAACTAAGGCATAGCAGAGTGTTCCACTTCCGCGAATGATGATTAGCTCTACCCGGTGAGATTTGGTGGACGTCCTTCTCTAGGTAGAGTCACTTGTTTACAATATTCACTCATTCATTTTTTTAAATAATGGATTTTTTAACAAACATTTCATTGGATATTCCAAGGTTTGGATTTTTTTTTGCAAAAGTCAGCCCCGATTGCTGATGCTTTTCATACTAATCCCAGAATAGTTTTGATAATACCTTTATCTTCGTATTTGCTGTTTAGATATGCCCTCTTACAAACCCTGGTGCCTTTCAAAAGGTGTACCCATTTTGAGGTCATGTGACACGTTAAACTCATTTCCACCTTTGTAAGTGATTAGATTTTATTGTGGTAGGGTATAAGTGCAGTGATGATGTATATGTGTGCACATTTTCATTAATCCCATTGCTGGCCACCCCCTTCCCCCCCCTTTTGAAT